CTACAAGGACTTCCCTGAGGAGGATGGGAGAGATGGAGTGTCTGTGTGTGTGTGTCATACTGTAGGGTACAGATGCATATCACCTGGGTGCTAGGTAAGCCGCCTCTACTCTCATCACTCTCTAGAACCTCTGGCTCCTACGCCCAGCTCTTAGCACTGACGTCATGTTCCAGAGCCATCTATGCCTGGGAATGCTGATGATAGGACCCCGCTCCTTGCTGAAGGCTGCAACCCTCTCGGCCCTGAGTCTGAGTTTGAACCAGGCGAAGTGCTGTCTCTTTTGAGAGTGGCGGAGCAAGAATGAGAAACGCCAAGCCAGGTGTGGCGCCCCACACCTTTAACCCCAGCACTCGGGAGGCAGAGGCAGGGCTATCCAGAGAAATCCTGACCCAAAAGAGAAAGACAGAAAAAAAAAGAAAGAAAGAAAGAAAAGAAAAGATAGCTTCTGGTCTTTTTACTCTCTCAGAAATGGAAAAATTTCCCTGACCATCTTGGTTTTACCTTAGATGTTATTAAAATAACTAGTTAAGTTTCCTACAGCTTCTTGTCAATGTCATAAGCTAGATGTGTAGCCTGAGATTTTTGCATTGTTTTGGTTTTTCTTTTTGTTTCTGTGGCGATCGAACTAATGACCTAGCATTTGCTAGTTAAGAGCTGGACCACCATCCTGCCCTTCCAGCCTGAATAGTCGGGGACAGATACGTAAATCAACCGAGGGGATTCTCTTCAAGATAAAGATTAAAAACAAACAAAAAAACGAGGCACTGAGGGTCCCGTGAGAAGCCTGTGGAATCAGGTCCAGACAGAGCTGGTTCCTTTACCCTTCCTGGGGTGTGGGGGCCTCCTGCAGCCCTGACCGAGGTTGCCCTATGCCTAGTCACAGCCTTGCTGAATTTTCCCTTCAGAACGGGAGGTCTGTTGCAGAAGGTTGAGGGACGCCTTGGCTCACCTTGCACAGCTGGAGTCTGGGATCTTCCCGTGAGGCCTGGCCCGTCAGCCTTTTGCGGTCTCGCAGGCTTGCCTCGTGCTTTCGGCAGCTCCTCAAGCTACCTCAGCAAAGGTTGTACTTGAGAAGAAGGAAATGCTCTATTCTCATGCCTCAGGTACTTATGCTATGAGCAGGGATGCAGAAGAGATGGAGGCTAAAACAAAACAAAAACCCCCTCCAGGCTAAAACAAAAACAGAAACAAAAAAAAAAAAAAAAGTCCACAGAAGAATGGAAGTGAAGTTGAGATCCAGAATTAGACATGTTGTGTCCACTGATGTGAAAGTAACATGACACCCAACAGAAGGAAGAACTGACAATAGAGTCTCATGGTGATATTGAAGGTGCGCATTCGTGGTGATCTAGCCTGGCTAGATCATGTGGGGGTCTGGCTCATAAAGTAACATGGAGTAGGAGGTTAACACTGGTGTCTCTGTTTGGATTAGTTTTGTGTTTTGAATTGTTTTTCAAGTTGGATGCTCTCTCTGATCAAGTAAGATGATAAATACTGTCTCAGTTTGAAAATGGGGACCATCTGGGCATGACCCACTCCTCCCCACAAGCCAGACCTCTTGGGCACTTGCACAGGTTGAACAGGGGTTCCAGTCTCATTGCCCCAGTGTCGGGTGGGCTTAGTTCTGCACTGGGGCAGCAGATTCCGAGCCTGGCTCCCACCAGCTCCACGCCCAGCACTTGGGGATCAGAGACCTGCCCAGTTAGCGGCAGCTGCAGTGAGGAGCCCGAGACTTCCCCAGGAAGGCATTCGTTTGCTCAACTCCTGCCCCTCATCTGGCAGGGTAGCTTGCCAAGAGCACTCCCTGAGACAGGTCAGACAGGGGTGGGTCGGAGAAAGCCTTCCAGCCTTCCTCATCCTCAACAAACCTTTCAGTTGGCTCCATTTTCCCATCTGTGTCAACGCAGCCTGAGGCTGCTAGGTGGGTCTCACCCCAGTGACAGCTGGAGGGATAAAGCTTCTGGTATCCGTTTTCCTTAGGGGCAGCATAGAGGTTAGAGAAACCTGCTGCCCAATGGCCACATGGGCCTTCCCCCCCCCTCACATGTACACTCTCCTCCTGTCTTACTTCCTGGAGCCCTGGGGCTCCACTGCAGGCTCCCATGTGTTTGCCCTTCCCAACAAGGCCTTTGGCATTGCCAGCTCTTCTAATACTGAGCCCTTGGGTCTCCCTTGGCCCAGGAAGCTCTCTCCCAGGTGTCATGAGCTGACATCTGTGAGATGAGGGTTACCTCCTAAGGCTAACACTTCCTGTTTCCTTCGTCAGATCTCCAACTTTTTAGGAGTTAAAAAACCCACGCCAGGGGTGTCAATTCCTGGTGCAAATGCCTCAAGGAGACCCCACCATATAAAGTTATGTGAGAACAGATGAGGCTTCGCCTTGCAGGTCGGAAGTCACAGGTGCCCAGATTCTACCACTCCCAGCCTACAGGATTTTGGTCAACCCACTTGCCTTTCCGCTTCTGTGTGACATGGGGACTAAAAAAAAATAATCCTAATAATGAGCACAAATAGAGGCTGCCTTCTCCACACATGGCTGCCAGCCAAAGCAGTGTCTGAGAAGAGAATCGTGTCTTTGTAAGCGGAATCACGTCCCAAATGGAATGGACACAAGCCACAAAGACATCCGTCTTCTTTCTAGCACGGGAAGATAGGCGTGGGAGCTCAGGTCTGGATGGACTGGCCATGCAAAGCTAGGCAGGTAAGAACCGGTCATCACCGGGTTCCCGGGACTTCGTGTGGAAGGATGGCCAACAGCAGTGGAGGAAGTAGAAAAAACAAACTCCTCTTTCCAGAAGTGGCCTTTCGGGCTCTGCCTCCTCAGGCCTCGGTTATGGTGGAGGCCAAGGAACCCCTGTGGGATAGCACGTTCCAGGGGCAGCTGGGAACTCGATTTTGTCAAAAGGATCCATTGAATCTAGCCCATGAGTCATGCGTTTGGTGAAAACTCTGAGGTGCGGCGGCCTGGCAGTCTCTCTGGGAGAGTGGCCCGTTGTGGCCACAGCAGCTCTACTGAGAGGCTGGACACTGCCCAGGCTGCGGGGGCCACATACCTCAGCTGCCCAACTGCCACACTGGCTTTTACACAATCCTTTTAATTATAAAGCTTATACGTGGGGCTGGAGATACGGGTAAAGATCACAGCACAAACATGAGGGCTTGAGTTCAGGCTTCCCGCAGCCTCGTAAGAAGCTAACGAGTCTGTAAGCTCAAAGCTGGGTAGACCGGAGAGTCCCTGGAGCTTGCTGGCCAGCTGGTGTACTGGAATCAGTGAGCTCTAGGGTCACTGAGAGAGCAACTGAGGAAGACCTAAATATCAACATACAGCCCCTTGCGCACACACAGCCACAGGCATGAACATATTCACACAGCACACGAGTTCCAAGGGCAACTGGGAACTCATATTTGTCAAGTGTCCATTGAATCTAGTCCACAAGTCATGCTTTTATTGGAAACTCCAAGGTGCTGAGGCCCCTGGAAAATGGATGTCTTTTGCAGCTTGTGTCAATACCATTTAGGACATGATTCCACTTACAAATACACACACTACAATACACACAACTGATACTCAGTGAAAAAAAGAAAAAACAAACGATGATCCATACTCCTAAAACATGCATCATCACAAAGTTGATGTATTGCTTTTCCTCTCTTGCAAGAACAACAATCCAGGTCAGTCAGATTATGCTTCGGGACACACAGTTCCCAAGTGAATGAGAATGACCTTAGCACAGAATCAGCTACCCAAAGTTAAGGTCCTCTTTCCTTGCTGGATATTCCTTCGCCTTGCTCCACCCCACTCTCCTCTTCCCAGCTCTTTTCTCCTTAAGATTTCTTCTATTTCAACTATCTGTAGATGTGTGTAAGGGATGTGTATGTTTGTGCATGTGTGTGTTTGTATGCAATTGTGTACACACAACTGGGAATGGGGGGTGACCAGTATGGGAATGTGTAAGGGCAGATGACCTCAGAATCTGGAAGATCCCCCGGAGTTCCCAAGCAGTTGCAAGCTGCTCCTTATGGGTGCTGGAAATTAAATTCGGGTCCTCTGTGAGAGAAGAAAGCACTCTTAGCCACTGAGTCATCCCTCTGGTGTCCTGACTCTTAAAAGCAATAGAGACGGAAAGGAACCCTTGCAATGTTTATCATCCAGCATGACGTTTATGTTACTTTAAGTCAGACACTCTTTGTCAATGTTGAGTACAATTCCCTTTTCCTTTTTTTTTTAAGGCTATTAAAAACAGTCAAAACTGAAAATTGACTGCACTGAACACTTCTTTATTCCAGTTTCCCTTTATTTGACTTGTTACATTTTTAAAAGTGTAGGAACCCCACCAGACCTCGCTGCCTGCCACTGTTCTTTTGTTTTTCAAAGTGTCTGATGGAGAAAGAAAGGAAAATTTCACCCCGGCCGGAATTCAGAGGCTTAACTTAGAGTCGGGAGGAATGTGTGTGTCTTTTGGAGTGACAGACCAGTCATTATAAGAGCCTTTGGGTTCAAATGGTTGTTTAAACCACCTAGTCAGTTAGCCATCAATTCTTTCTGCCTTGGGGTGAATTGGGGCTATGATACATGTACTTGGGCTGTCACTAGCAACTTAACCCGGCAGATGCTGTTGTCCAGGTAGAGCAGTGGTTCTCAGTCCTTCCCAGCGCTGCTGCCCCTGGATACAGTTCCTCATGTGGTGGTGACCCCAACCATAAGATTCTTTTTGTTGCTATTTCATAACTGTAATGTTGCTATTGCTATGAATTGTAAATATCTGACATGCAGATGGTCTTAGTCGACTCCTGCAAAAGGCCATTCAACTCCTGAGGGGTCGAGACCCACAGGTTGGGAACCACTGAGATGCGGTCTCTGGAGGCGGGGTGCCTCCGGGAGGCCGCTCTATCAAGATGCTCTACAAGGTGCCAGAGAGTTTGGCGCCCTTGCAGACTTCTGCAGGCACGGAGCCTGACAGTAGGATGGGGCCAGCCACGGTGGTCTCTCCTCTCCCCAGAGCTGTCTCAACAAACAGCAGCTCCTCACAACCATCCGCCAACTGCAACAGCTGCTGAAGGGCCAGGAGACCCGCTTCGCGGAAGGCATCCGGAGCATGAAGAGCCGGCTCACCGCGCTGCAAAACTCTGTTATCAAAGTGGCCCCAGATGCCCCTCCAGGTGGGTCCCAAACCTTCAGGCCAAGAACTGCACTCAAGAACCCTCCCTGCAACGCTCCACATCCAGTTTGCTGTGTGTGTGTGTGTGTGTGTGTGTGTGTGTGTGTGTGTGTGCGCGCGCGCGCTTTAAGAAGATTATGCCTCTCCCCTACATTTGACAGTCAGCTATTTCCAGTTTTTTTTATTTTTATTTTTATGATTTGCTTATGTGTGTCTCTGTGTATGCACGTGTGTGCTTGTACCCACGGAGGCCAGAGGAAGGCACTGGAGCCTTGGTCCTCTGCAGGAGCAGCAGGCATCCATAACCACTGAACCACCCACTCAGCCCCTTGTTTTGTTTTTAATCTTACATAGCTCAGATTAGCACATCACTTGGATTCAAACTTGCTGTGTGGCCAAGGATAATCTTGAACTCCTGATGCTCCGGCCTCTGCCTCCCAAGTGCTGGAATTATGGTTTGCATTTCCAGGCCTGGGTTTTGGTTTTGTTGTTTCAAGACAGGATCTCAATATATAGCTCAGGCTGGCCTGGAACTCAAAATCCTACCACCTCTGCCTCCCAGTAACTGGTTTGTCACCACACCCAGTTCATTTCTTCTCGTACCTTTAATCTAGGCTTAAGAACTACATAGCTACAATTCTGTGATTCCCACAGAATTGTCAAAAACATCACTCTGCAAGTGTGGGTGATGTCACCTCACCTCCCAGAGGGCATAGTCAACCCTGGTCTTGCTTTTGGTCCTGTTTTTATTTTTAGTGTAATGGCCTATTTTTCAGACTGGAAGGCCCGGATGCTTCCCACATATGGCCTCCACACAGGCACATCCTTCCACCCTGACCTACCAAGCACACTGCACTTACAGCAGGTATTCATTTTTCACGAACCAGCATGGTTCTGGCTTATCATGCCTGAAGATTCATTCTCCTGGGAGTCCGTCCAGTATGGATGGGGAGAAGAGTTTCAAGGGCAAGTCCCGCTTGTCTGGGGTACGATGGGACATTTCAGTTTCCTCTACTAAGGGAGAGCTCTAACACTGGGGCATGTTTTCCTGGTGACATCTTTCACACCCGATAGGCCTAGATGTGGGCAATGGGTTTCTCCTGGCCTAGGGGCACAGGGGACAGGAGATGGGAGCCCATGGGATATCTGCCATCATTGCACCCCGAAGCGAAGCTCCATTTTCTTATGGTCTCCTTTGTTATGCGAGGTAACATTTCCCAGAGAAGGATTTCATCAGAGGTTCGGGAAATCACGTTTCTTTCAAGGCTCATTTATAGAACATACTCTGTGTGCCAAGCTCTTGGTTGGGGCTGGGGATACAGAAAGACCACAGGCCAGATTTCATTAAGGCAGAGAACATGAACAGCAAACGTTTAGGCACACTGCAGTAGTCACAGATGCTAAGAGGAAAGTGACCTGGGGACAGAGATGCGTACTATCTGCCAGGGATCTGTCTGGCGTTTTGAATGGAGACCTGAAGAACAGAACAAAGGGTCTGGCCTGGAGGTAGGCTGAGCCTGTTCAGGAGACTTAGGACACCAGCAGTCTGGAGAAAAGAGGAAGGCAGAGACAGTGAGTGGTGCCTTCTCCAGTCTCACACTCGTTGAGACACTGCACACACAACCCTCTGTGTCTCTGAGCCCCACTCTCCTCAGCTTTCACTAGGCCAACAGCGCGCTCTATTCATCTCCAAGAAGACTGGAAGAGTTTCCTGAGATGTGGCATTTAGAAAGCCCAGGGCCATGTCCAGCCTGCAGCAGTCACTCAACAGAGAGAGAGGTCTTGTGGATGACATCCATGATTCCACTGTTGCTCAGTGGCAGGTCTCCTAATCCCTCCTCTTCTCCTTACAGTTTCCTGCCCCGCTCTGGACGACCCTCCTGACGGCAAGAAGTTTGGAAGCAAGTACTTAGTAGACCACGAAGTCCATTTCACCTGCAATCCTGGATTCCGGCTGGTTGGGCCCAGCAGCGTGGTATGTCTGGCTAATGGCACATGGACCGGCGAGCAGCCCCACTGCAGAGGTAAGGCCATTCTGCCCTGACCACGCCACACACACACATGCAACACACACTTGTGCATTTCTTGTGTTTGAGTTCAGCTGAATACATGCCACAGTGGTCAAAGGATAACCCCAGGTGTCAGCCCTTGCCCTCAGTCTCATATGAGACAGGACCTCTTGTTGTTTGCTACTGTGTGTGCCAGGCTAGCTGGTCAGCAAACTTCCAGGGTTTGCCTGTCTCTGCTTCTCAGCTCATGAGTAGAGCTGGGAGTACAGAAGCCTGCTACCAAAGTCTAAACATTGCATCCACTGAGCCATCTTCCCATCCCCATGGTTCTTCAGCCATCCCTCAGCCAACAACCAGGGAGGGGAACGTGTCTGCTCCCTCGCCTCTATGTCAGGCCTGACTAGTCTCCATCATCATGAGCAGATTTTTTTTTTTTTCCTATTTTAGAGGCAGGGTTTCTCTTCAGAGCCCTGGCTGTCTTGGAACTCACTCTGTAGACCAGGATGGCCTCAAACTCAAGAGATCTGCCTGCCCTGCCTTCCGAGTGCTGGGATTAAAGGTGTGCAGCTGGGCAGTGGTGGTGCAAGACTTAACCCCAGCACTCAGGAGGTAGAGGTAGGTAGATCTCTCCCTGTGTCAAAAGAAGGAGGAGGAGGAACAGGAGGAGGAGGAGGAGGAGGAGGAGGAGGAGAGAAAAAAGCAAGAAAAAAGGAAAGAAAAGAAAAACAAAAGACTGGTTTATAGCTGGGTTTATTGTCTCCAACTGGAATCCTAGCACTTATGAGGCTGAGGCAGGTAGGCTGCCTGAATTAGCCTGGACTATAGCCTGGACTTCAAAAACGAAAAAGAAAAACAACTGGATCTTATCAATGTCAGAGCGTGGGTCTGCCTTGACATGGAGAAGGAACTAGAGGAGGGGACAGCTGCTCTGCCCTGGGGGTGCAGTCTGCTCATGGGGAAGAAGAAAGTCTTCAGCTGTCCTTAGGGTCTAGGCTAGGACTTGGTATGGACAGCTCCAGGAGACGCCTTCTCCAGTCAGTGGGGGGAAAAACGGTTTGTCTGTGCTGGGCTTGAGAACAGTTTGACATAGAGAAGACTGAGGCTCAGCACATATAGTTTATGGGTGTTTCAAATGCCTGCAGACCATAATCGAAGAAAAGAGAATCATGGCTCTCAGCCATTTTTAGGCATCCATGGAACATCTCTTGAGGCAAAATGATTTCAGCCAGGGCTAAAGGGAGCATGACTCTTACACAAATACAAGAGCGCTGTGGAGAGGGGGCGTGGAGTGTGCATTCACCTGAGGCAGGGCCTCTATGTGTTGGTCTCAAACCCCTGGTGCGTACTAAGCACTTAACCAAGGGCCTTGTGCACGTAAACGAGAGCCCTGCTGATATGCTACAATCAATAGCCCCGAGTACCTAAAAATCTTGAAAACAAAGAGACCTCAGAAAGCACAGCACCTCAAGATGACTGACAAGAGGAGCTGAGACCTTCACAGCGGCGCTCAGGGGTCCAGGGCGCCCTTTCCCGTCTCCTGGAAGGAAAGGTAGCTAAAGGGTTGCCAGGTGTGAGCTCTTAGACTGAACTAGACGCCATCCGGGCGATAAAGCCACGAACCATACAAACACACCTGGAGAAATGCCAGTGCCTGCTGTTCACCCCGACTCGGAGAGAATTCCGTCCCCTTAAACACCTTCCGGATGACAAAATGCCATCGGAGGTGCGAACACAGGGACTGTTCTTCTCCCTGCTCTGAGCATCTGTAGTCTTAACTTCCAGGCCGAGTTGCAGACCCTTGGTGGGTTCTTTCTCTGCGTTAGGTCTGTCTACATCAGCACGGTCAGGTCCATTGACTTAGCCACCTCCGGCCGGATCTGCCTGTCTGTGTTCTGTAGCATGTGCGCCCACATCTCTCTGTCTCTTGTCCTGTCACGGACATCTGTCTGTCTGTGGTCCTCCATGTCAGGGTGGACATGGTCTTCTTCTTTCCCCACGTTGTCCCTGGACTGAGTATCTGTGGGTGGAGGGAGTCAGCACTTTTGACTGATGAACTGAGTTCAATCCCTGGAGCCTACATTTAGTAGAAGGTGAGAACCAGCTCCTAAAAAGGCTTTCCTCTGACCCCCACAAGCATACGGTGGCACACAGATGGGTGTGCACACACACACACACACACACACACACACAATAAATAAATAGATAAATAGATATTATTTTCCCCCAAGAGGCTGGAGAAAAGATGCAGCAGTTGCAAGTTCTTGCAAAGGCTCTGGGTTCAGCTGTCAACACCCTCCGGTGCCTGAGCCTGGATCCCCACCATCCACATAAAGGTCATGTGCAATGGTGTGTGTGTGTCAGTAACCCCAGCACTGGAGTGAGACGGGACAAGTGGCTCATCAGAGTCCACTGGCCAGTCAGTCCAGTTGAATTAGAGGGCTCCGAGCTCTTAAAGCAGACAGTTCCAGGAGAGCTGACACCCCTTTTCTGGCCTCTGTGGGCACTGCACACAAATGGTGCACAGACATACACTCAGGCACACAACACAACACAACACAACATAACCTAACACAACACAACATAACATAACCTAACACAACACAACACAACACAACACAACACAACACAACATAACATAACATAACATAACATAACATAACATAACATAACATAACATAACATAACATAACATAAGTGAATATTTTCAAACTTTCCCCCAAATAGTAGGTGATCAAGTATATATACATATATATGTGTATATATATGATACATATATATAGAGAGAGAGACACATATACATATATGTGTGTGTCATATATGTATGCATGTATGTATGGTATGTATCTTTGGGAGTGGATAAGTGAATTCGAATTTCTCAATATTGAAGTAGCTAGAACCATTAAATAAATAAAATAATAAACAAAGTAATTAATAATGAAGGTTTTAGTGAGGCTCCATGGCTCCAGAGTGGCCATTCTAGCTATATAGAAGTTCACAGAGATGGGTGGAGTCAGGACTGAGCCAGTGTCTGAATGGCTGCCTAACTGTGTGCTGCTTTATTTGTGAGATGGTTAGAATAAGGTGAATAAATTTTTTTTTAATTTTTTTTTTCAAAATGAGATGTTCGATATTTTCCATCTCACTAAGTATAAACTGGACCTGGGCGCTTACCCTGTACTGATGGAACAAACTATTTGGATGCTACAGCCAACTGGACCAACAAGCTGCAAGGCTGAGCCTCCCCCAGGTTGGCATGCTCTCCTACACTGGCACTCATGGATGCTGTCTTCAGCCAGGGCCTCCCAAGAAATGCCAGAGACCTGCTATTGGATCTTCTCGGGGACTGTGACAGTCTTGATTGCGTGAATGAGGCTTAGTGCCACAGGACTTGTTCTGGTCAGAGCCTGAGTGAACCCTGGCAGCCTTAATAGCCTACACTTGCCCACCCATCCTTGACAGGCCAGCTAAGCAGACAAGTGATCATGGCAAACAGGGATCTAGTCATTGTGGCCACACTGGGAAGAGGACAAATAAAGAGGTCCAGTGACCTCCTCACCAAGTCCATCTTTGGGGTCCTGGTGAGGTTTAGATCTAAAGATAGGACATGACTGGGCAGCCACCGTCAAGCTGTGGCATAGCCCATCACCTTTATCTGGGCTTTAGTGTCTCCAGGGAAGCTGGTGTGACAATTTGTCAACCTGCGTGAACTCCTGGGGCTAGGGAGCTGGCTCAGTGGGTAAAGTACTTGCTGTGCAGGGCTTAAAGCCCTGAGCTTGGGTCCCCCACAAAAGCACCCACATAGAAGCAGGGTATGATGGTGTGTGCCTGAAATCACTGCAGTTGGGGCAGAGAGCGAGACAGGCCCCTGGAACCTGCTGGCCAGCTAGTCTAGCTAACTTGAAAAACCCCGGGAGTTCTCAAAAGCTCAGGTGGAGGGACTGGAATGATGGCTCAGCTGGTAAGGCCCTTGCTGCTCTTCTAGAAGACCTGAGTTCGATTCCCAGCACATGTATGGTAGTTCACAACTGTCTATAACTCCAGGGGAGCCAATGTTCTATTCTGCACTCCATAGCACCAGATACACACAGAATGAACAGACATGCATGCAGACAAAACACCATTCACACAAACTAAATTAAACATGGACAGCAATAGAGAATGCACACAATGTTGACCACTGGTCATGGTTATGATGGTTCGGGCATGCAATACCCCCCCCCCCATGCACCTACATTAACATACACACATGTATAACACACACACTCAAACGACAAAAAACTGTCTGCAATCTCTTTCTGGGACACAAGTTCCTCCTCTCACTGGCACCAAACTTTAGCCTTTTCCTTTCCCCCAGGATGAGATTTCTGGAAAAATTCCAACTCTTGATGTCCATTGTCTTAGTACTCTGAGAGCCAAGGGGTAGGGGTGGGGTTGGCGATTACAAATGTCTTCAGAGCGCCTCCTCTCCTGCCAAGACAGTTCCATCAGGCTGGAGCTCAGCGATCTCATGACCAGTGTCAGAACCGCCACAGCAGCTGCTGAACTTGCCCGTTTCCACATTGTCAGGTCCAGTCACTGTGTGCTGTGACCACGGGGAGGGACAATAATCTCAATTACAGCCGTTTACTTTAAGACACGAAACATCAGTGCCAGTGAAACTCTTGGCAGCACCTTAATAACTGGCCTGTACCCACCCTGCAGTCAACTGATTGGAAAGAGGGTGATGAACCCTACTTGGCACAGAAGGAAATTATACATAACGACACCATTAAGGAGGCAGTGGGCAGAGGAGCTCTGGAAGTCCACCGTGGAAAGTGGCCATCTGGCTTCCTGAGTTTCCCTTTTCTCTCTGTCAAGGATGTTTGCTGTTGCTCTTGTTCCTTTTGAGAGAGAACCTCATGTAACCCAGGCTAGATTTGAATTCAGTAAGTAGCCTAGGATGGCCTCGAACTTCTGATTCTCTGGCCTCCACCTCCTTAGTGCTGCTGCAAGTACATTCATTCATTCATTCATTCATTCATTCATTCTTTATGTATTTATGTATGTATGTATGTATGTATGTATGTATGTATGTATGTATGTATTTATTTATTTATTTATTTATTTATTTATTTATTTATTTATTTATTTTTGGTGGTGCTAGAGAGGAAATCCAAAGCTTTTACATAGTAGGCAAGCACTCTTCAGCTGAGTATTAGCTCCAGACTGCCGACATGTTTTTTTTAGGGTTGACGAGGCTTTCTGAGTTGGGGAAGCCAGAGCCCTTCTGTTTGATCCTTTGGCTCCAGGGACAACCAAAGGAAAAGTCTGAGAAGTAAAGGCCTTTGCTGTTTACCACCATCTTGAAGCACTTCCCCACAGGGCCATTCAGTGCTTCGTTTGGTCTGCCCTCAGGGGCCTTTAGAGTACTGGCAATGTCCTATGTCACCACCTATGTTATCCTATGTCATCACCTGCTCCACCTGTGAGGGATAGAACCCACCAGGTGTTATTACCCGTCACCCCACCTCTCCCTCTCCAGCTCTTTCTTGCTCTCTCTTGGTCTCTGTCTGTCTCTCTTTCTCTATGTGTGTGTCTTTTTCTGACTTTCTTTTCTGAAGTGTTTCACCCGTCTCTCCTTTCTCTTCTTCACTCTTCCATTGTCTCTCTCTGTCTCTCTGTATCAGGCCTGTTGTGCAGCATATAATTTATATATTATTACAATCATCGTAAACATTTTTTTTTTCATTAAGAAAAAATTTCAAGCCAGGCACCATTAATCCCAGCACTCAGGAGGCAGAGGCAGGTGGGTTTCTGTTAGTTTGGGGCCAGCCTGGTCTACAGAGAGTTCCAGGACAGCTAGTGGTACATAATACAAAGACCTTGCCTCAAAAAGAAAAAGAAAAAAAAAAAAGAAAGGAAGGAAGGGAGAGAAGAAAGAAGAGAAGAGAAAGAAGCGAAGAGAGGTTTGGGAGAGATGGCTCAGAGGACACTGGCTGCTAGTGCAGAGGATTTGGTTTCAGTTCTCAGCTCCCATAGGGCGGCTCACAATCATCTATAATTCCAATTTCAGGGGGTCTAGGCACCACATACATGTGGTGCCCATACATACATGCAGACAAAAGATTCCTACACATAAAATAAAAATAAACCTAATAATAAAAAATAAAAATAAAAATAAAAAGTGTCAACATATGAGAGTATAAAAGGAAGATCTTTTAAACCAAAACTCCAGTAATTTTCACAAAGTAAACCTCTTAATGTCATAAACTATCTAATTAAAATTCTCCCTATTTTCTTACATATTTTTAACAATATTTGAATTGGAGCCCAGACCAGCGCCACATTTTTAACTGGTTGTCCTGTCTCTTACATCCTGGGGAGTGTCTCTTGGGTCCTCCTTCTGAGGTTCTTTAGTTGATTCTTCAAGAAAAATTCAGGGCTAGTTCTCTGAGCTCACATATTTTTGAAATAATGTTACAGGTCAGCTTGACTGGGTGTAAAATGTCTATCTCACCTTTAACTGGGCTATCTTAGATATCATGCATCTGACTACAGGTGTGGACTACCACACCCAGTTTTATGCAGTGCTGAGGACCAAACCCAGACCCTGATGCATGCTAGGCAAGCACTCTGAGCCACACCCCGGCCAGGACTCTTCAACTGGAAACCTTAGTTCCAGGGGGAGTCTTCCCAAGAGCCCTAAAAGCTATAAAGTTGGGGAGAATCCAAGTTGAACACACACACACACACACACACACACACACACACACACACGTACAAATAAGATGTGGTTGTTCACACACACACAAAGCCACCAAGAGGTTAAAGAATTGACTCATCAGTTAAGAGCGCTTGTTGCTCTTTCAGAGGACCTAGGCTTGATTCCCAGTTCCCACAAAGCAGCCCACAGTCATCTTTAGCTCCAGTACCTGGGGATCTTTTGCCCTCTTCTGGCTGCCACAGGAACTGTATGCATGTAATGCACATACATACGTACATATGTACATACATACAGGCAATGCACCAAACACATAAGATCATAAGATAAGCCAGGCACTGTGGTGCACACCTGTAATCCCAGCACTCAGGAAGGCAGAGGCAGGCGGATCTCTGTGAGTTAGAGGCCAGCCTGGTCTACAAAGTGAGTCCAGGGCAGCCAGCTACACAGAGAAACCCTGTCTTGGAAAAGAAAAGAAGAGAAAGTTATTCTCTAACCTCTCCGCTTGTGACATTCACGTGTGTCCCCCCCAAAAAAAAAAAAATTAAAGAAATGCAAAAAAATTTTTTTTTAAACAGCAACATACATACAATTGAGAAAACCTTAGAAATGTAGTCACTGGAATAATGAAAAATCTGAAACAAGATGCAGAGTGCAGAAACAAAGTAGGCTAAAAGAGAAAAGAAATGAGGATAAGAATGTCGCTCAGAGGGTACATGCTTGTCTAGTGTGTGTGAGGCCCTGAGTTCAGTATCTGGTATCACATAAGCCAGGCATGGTGGTGCTTGCCTATGAGCCTAGAACTCAAGAAGCAGGGACAGGAGATCAGAGATCAAGATCATCTTCAGCTACATATCAAGTTCAAGGCCAGCCTGGGTTACGTGAGACTCTGCCTCACATACATACATACATGCATACATACATACGTACATACGTACACACATGCATGCATAGATAAATATTTTTAAAAGAAAAAAGTTAGATGTAGATATGAGTATTCGCTTCCATGAGGAATAAGTAAGTATTTATGATACAAGAAATGGAAACATGGCTGTGCCCAGGCCTTGGCTTGCCAGCCTTTCTCACCACCACTGCCATTGCCCTCTTCAAGTCATAGCTGAATGCCACAGCCTGGGACACTCTTGAATGTGATGACAACTGTCCTTCAGTTGGGATATAGATACCATTTGCCAGCCTGGGCGTCGGCCGTTGAATACCTCTGACTGCTCATCAAGATAAGAAGTGCGGAAAGTCTGTCTGGGGCCTGTGAGGAAATGAATGTACTGTGGCATCCGTTCATGCCTCTATCAAGCTGATGTCACCCTAGCCCCCCCCCCCCCAAAGGGTCCAGGTGCAAGCCCGGCTCAGTGTCCTCTGTGGAGTTTCCCCAGAGACAGATAATGGCTGTGGGCATGCTGACACCACAGCCTGAGGGGTATAAATGCTCACTTTCTGGCTTCCTGCCCATGCCTTCATGGATTATTGATCTGCCCACTTGCAGAGGGGCCAGTAGGCAAAGGTAGGGTTGCATCTTGAGAGACCTTGGAATACTGACCTCAGAGGGACATTTGTGTGTGCTGAGGTCTCACACGAATGCCTGGAAATCGATCATCCGAAAACAGGCTGCCTGGGGAAACATGTCACCAGACTGAGGTTGCAGAGAAATGGAAGGGGCTCCTTCCCCTGGCACAGTGTTTGGACAGCCTGAATCCTTCTAGCTAAAATAGAAACCCTCAAGCAGTCACAAGAGGTCCCTTCCATCTGACCTAGAATGAGGCTATGGTTCTCACTGGAAGCAAAGCACCTGCTCCGTGCTCTTGGGAGACAAAGAGAAAGGTTGCTGTTGGGCCAGTACGCGTCTGTCCTCGGGTTTCCCTCCCAGGCACTGCAGTGAAATCCGAGAGCTGACAAGGCTGCTCCTGGGTGGAGATGGCTGTGTGTGCATGTGCTTAAATGGGGCCCGAGGCATTGGTAGCAGTGAAGGTTTTACAAAATTATCTTTTCCAAAGTAAGACATTGTATAAAAATTTATTGTAGAAAAGGCATGAATACAAAAAAGCATAGATGAGAAACAAACCAACCAACCAACCATCCATAAGCCAAGCGGAAAAAGGCAGAAACTCACGTCAATGGTTTCTTTGTGTGGGCAGTACTGAGGATTTGAACCCAGGACCTCAAGTGCTCAACTGCTGAGCTCCCCAGCTCTGAAATCAATCTACTGAACTTTAAAATTCTCTCTTTCTTTCTCTCTCTTATCTTCACTCCTCTCTACTGAGCAGTGAGTACGCAACCTGGGAACTATTCCCTTAAGCAACACTATGGAACAGTCAATAGATCCGATATTGATGGAGCCCAGGGGAGCTGAATATAAATTGAGAGAATTAATTTTCCCCATCTCTGGATATTCCAATGGGCTGTCCCCTCTCCCCTTTCTTGGAATTTAGCTCCCTCTTGAAAGATGATCTGGGGATGTGGTTCAGTTGGTAGAATAAGCCTAGCATGCCCAGGCCCTGGGTTGCCTCCCCAAGCACCAAAGAAAAGTGGGCAGAGAGATATGTACCTGTTAGTTCTAGCACTCAGGGGGTGAAAGCAGGAAGACCCTAGGTTAGGCCGGCTTGGGATCACCTCAGAGCAGAAGGGCTTCACTCACAGGCAGATGCCAACACCTGGCTACAGCTGTGTGCACGACACCCCCACAAATCACAGCCTCGTGTTTCTTCGTGGGGCCTGAGCGGTGCTGCCCACAGAGCCGCGCGGGCGGGCACAGTGTGGGGCAGGTCTTAGGGAAGCCGTGGCCTACATTTCAGCCCCTCAGTGCCCTTGCAGCTCCCACGAGAGTGGTAAGGACAAGGCGGGAAGAGGGAAAGCTGGGCTGGTGACAGCACGGCGGTAGGAGGCTGAGGCTGGATTATCACAAACGAGCGTGCCAACCTAGCTTTAGAGCGAGACCTTGTCTCAAAACCAACCAGAACCAAGCCAGGCAGGGAGCTGGAGGGGCCCTATGACGTAAGGAAAAACCCGCTGTTAGTTCCTGTGTGATTCAGCGCTAGAATCCACAACCGCGTGTTGCCATCCTTTTCTAGACGTCAGCGCATGCTCCAGCCAGCCTTGTCACCATGGCGGGACGTGTGTGGAGGGCGTCAACCAGTACAGATGCATCTGTCCTCCAGGAAAGACTGGGAACCGCTGCCAGCATCAGACCCAGGCTGGTATGTAGCCAGCATGGGGCTTGGTAAGGGTGTTTCCCTGGGGCTGGTAAGGATGCCGGTCATGGTTACCAAAGGCAGATGTGGGGGGACTCTGTGCCTCTCGTAGGCTCAAGCTTTTCCACTCTGGTTCCCATCCACTAGCTGATCCCTCTGGGACTCTAAGGTACTCACTTGGATGAACTTAGTTCTTTTTTTATAACCACAGTTTTGATCCCCCCCCCTTTTTTGAGAGACAAACCTCAACTTAATAGCCTGCAGATTAGGGCCATGACCTAGGAAGATACGCTGGGGTACCTTTGTTTGGTTAGCATTTCCTCTGCCAGCTTTCCTTCCAATGTTCCCACCACACCTTGCAAAGCCAGCAGTCCGAGGTATTTTAAAATAAGAATAAGCAGACATTTGATCAGTGAGCCCCAGCACGTGGTAAGAGAACCTAGTGATAAGGAATCTATGAAGGATGGGTTGGGGGTTGCATGCTATTCTCCAGCCAAGAAGTCTAATCCGAAAGATGCCTGGCTGCCTTCATTCCTGGGTGGACCCCTTTCGGGGAAAGGGCATTGGTGGATAGTGTAAGATCCAGAGAGGAGAGTTAACAAACTCTTGGGGCCGGGGAGGTAGCTTTATAGAGTGCTTGCTTCCCACGCCGGAAGCCGTGGGCTTGATTCCTAGCATCACACAATGCCACGGTGAGCTTCCGTGATCCCAGCCCCTGGGAAGAAGAAGCAGAGGCATCAGGTATTGAAGGCCACCCTTGGCTTTGAGGCAGAGTTTGAGTCCAGCTTGGAATACAGGAAACCCTGCCTCGAGTAAAACAAAACCATTTTATGCCCTGTAGAGCAGCCAGCCCCAGGTCAGGGCTAAATAGTGCCCCGAAAGCTGGCTGCTACATGTGCCCTGATGAGTCAGTGGGACTGAGGCCTGCCAGAGCCTCTCTCCCGAGGAAGCTGCCCCCAGAGGCCCCCTACAGCTCTTCTGTGGGGAGGCAGGGCTTTTGCAGAAACCCACTGGTGGTGTGTACAAAGAAGAGCAGAAAAGCCCTTTCTCTTCACCTCAGTGATACCACTAGATGCCTGTTGTTAGGGGGGGCTTCTGCTGTGGGACCTTTGGGTCATCACTCCTCAAGCCCATAGATCATTTTATGAAGTCTTCCGAAGACTGGAGTCTTCTCCAAGGATGGAAAGTAAGGAGTGAGCAGGTTCACATGAAGAAATGACAGACCCAGAACTTTCTTTCATGCCTGCCTCCCAGTGCCAGTAAACCTCTCCCCAATATATATATATAAAGTTTTAAATTGTGGGTATGTGTATGTGTGTATGTATGTATGTATGTATGTATGTATGTATGTATGTATGTATGTGTGTGAATGTGGATGTGGATTTGCACACTTGAATGTGGTGCCAATGGAAGCCAGAAAAGGGCTTTGGACCTTCTGAGAGTGGAATTACAGGCAGTTATGAACCTCTGGATGTTGGCCCTGAGAATCAAACTCAACTCTTCTGAAATAGTCGTTCTGGTTCTTAGCCACTGAGCCATCTCTCCAGTCCCTAATATTATTATTTTGAGACCAAGTCTGGCTCTGCTGCCCCAGGCGGGCCTTGAACTAAATTCGGGTGATCCTGCCTCAGCCTTGAGAATAACTACATGAATTATTTTTTAAAAATTCATTTACCAGAGCTGGAGAGATGCTCAGAGGTTAAGAGCACTTGCTGTTCTTGCAGAGGGCAAGGTTTCCCAGCACCCACGTGGTGGCTCAAGGCCACCTTTAACTCTCCGGTTGCAGGGAGATCAAGAAACCCTCTTCCTGGCCTCCACAGGGACCAGGCAAACCACGGGCTGTACATATGTATACACAGAAACACACATAAAAGAAAATAGTTTTAAAAATCTACTGGGTGGTGGTGGTACACCCCTTTAATCCCAAGACTCCAGAGTCAGATGGAACTCCAAGATTGAGGCCAGCCTGGTCCACAGAGGGAGTTCCAGGACAGCCAAGGTTACATAGAGAAACCCTGTCTTAAAAACGAAACAAAACAAACAAATAAACAAATAAACAAAAAATCCTCTAATCCCAGCACTTGGAAGGCAGAGGCAAGAGTTAGAGGCTAGCCTGGTCTAGAACAGTGAGTTCCAGGCTAGCCAGGGCTAAAAAATGAGATCCTGGTTGGTTTGGTTGGTTTGTGTTTAATCCATTTACCTTTGATGATGATGATGATGATGATGATGATGATGATGATGATGATGATGATGATGATGATGATGATGATTAGGAAACTAAATTTTGTTCTTAAAAGATGGGAAAACTGCAATAATAAAACAACTACCTTCAAGACATTGAAGAAGCCACAAGCTTTTGCAAAATGTATGCCCACGTGCACCTGCGCCGCGCGCACACGAGCGCGCGTAGAACAGACACAGTGGAGGCTCAGAGTTTTAACCCCTAGCGCTCACTGCATTGTGGGCGTTGTGCAAGATTCTCGAGGTGAAGTTCAGACTTCACACTGGCTGCCCCGCGGTGACATTCTGATCTCTGGGGTCCTATCGGCATCGGCTCTGTTTGGGTTACTCACTTGTCATTCCTTCCCTGGGAGATGAGGTCTCGCCCCTTTGGGGGAGCACGGGAGGTGCGGGGTTGGGGTAGGGGGGACAGGCTCCGAGCGTGTCTTCTTCCCGCAGCGGCCCCCGAGGGCGGTGTGGCCGGCGACCCCGCCTTCAGCCGCGCCCCGCGTTGCGCGCAGGTGGAGCGCGAGCAGCACTGCAGCTGCGAGGCAGGGTTCCACCTGAGCGGGACCTCGGGCGGCGACAGCATCTGCCAGGGTAGGCTCGGGCCCCGCGGGGGAGCGGGGACCCCGGGAGGAGCCTCGAGGACGCGAGCCCGGGAAGGGGCGGAGCGCGGGGTGGGACAAAAGGGTCTTCCTGGGCGTAGTCGTAGACCAGCGAGGTGCCTTAGGGTCTGCACTCACTCTCCGGAGTACTTGCGCAAGGCCCTTTCTGGGTACAACCCTCTTCCCACCTCTGGCAAAAATCCTGTGGGCTGGTGGCAAGGCAGGAGCTCAGCTCATTTACGGCAGACAGGGCCACGGATGTGGACACAGCCTGAGACTCATTCCCTGGTCTCCTCCTCTCAGTAGCCCACTTTCGATAAGTACAACTGGACAGCAGTTCCACCCTGAGATCTGGTCAGGAGACGCTAAGGGGCCCATACGACAGCATCAGCATCGGAAAGAAAGACACCAACCCCCTATAAAGAGGCATCTCATTATACAGCCCAGGCTGGCCTCAACCGGAGATTCCGGTTGACTGGGATTACAGGCCAGATAGGCTGCAGGGCTCTCCTGCTCCGTTTCTCCATTGCTGCAGATGAGAGCTAAGACGGGTGTCTGAACCTGGTTCTAGTCTCTGACTGGGGTACCTGACTTGCTAACCTTTGTTGAGTTCCCCCATTTGGGCGGAAGAGTCCCTCCAGCCCCCCATGTCAGCTCTGTCCACTCCCCCGTTTAGCCCTCTTGGTCTTGGACTGGGGCGAGGGGTAGCATCCCAGATGCCCTTCTGCAGATACAGCTCATTGCTGAATCCAGCTGTTTAGTCATAGCTGCCAAACGTGGAGGCCGCGTAGCCTCCCGGGGTCATGGGCACTCTTGTCCCCAGATGTGGACGAGTGTGAGATCTACGGGAAGGAAGGACGCCCCCGGCTCTGTATGCATGCCTGCGTGAACACCCCTGGCTCCTACCGCTGTACCTGCCCCAGTGGATACCGGATCCTGGCAGATGGGAAGAGCTGTGAGGGTGAGTGAGACTGCGTCAGAGACAGGTGACCATGAGGCTAGTGGTCACCACTCGCACCTGCTGCTGCTATTTCTGCTCTCAGCCCATTCATAGTCCCAAGAACAAAAGGCAGTTTGGAGCCTGGGTTGTTAGTGGAAAGTACCTGGCTCAGGTTCTACCTCAGTACCTGTCATCCATTGTGGCTCCCCAAAAGACAGGGCTGACGTTTCTCTGTCCAGACAGGGTGCAGATAAACACCCTCATCAGCAAGGAACGCATGCAGGTAGCTGGGAGTGGGGTATAGCAAGGAAAGGCTGAAAACTGCAGTTGCCATCGTCACCACCAGACAAATCTAGCGGACCCTGGCATAGCAATAGGAGGCCTTCCGTTACCACACCCTTCTCTGAAGACAAACCCAGAGATTAAAAAACATAGAGATGTCAAATCTCTGCATTCACACAGTCAGAACACAGTGGCCCAGACTTACCGATGAGTCCACACCCAAATTTAGTTGGATAGTATTAGCCCTTCATGCACAATGTTTCTGTCTTATAGTACATACCTAGCATGAAGTTTACTTTATAAATTAGACAGAGCAAATATTTGGCAACAACTAATAGCAAGATAAGCACCAATAATGGACTGTAATAAAACTTATTAAAAATTAATGAACTATAGTTGGCCATAGGTAAGCCATACCATGTACAAGTTGGGACTGCTATATTAGAGTCAGGCTTAGAAGCAAAGCAGGGTTTCCTCCTGCTCAGCTTGTTTCTAGGCCTTGGAACTTGGGGCTACAGTGGGGGGCCCTCTAGGGAAATCCTGCTGCTTCAGGCAGTGCCCACCCCCCCATTGAGAGGATGCCCAGGCCTGACTTCTCCATGGACTGAGGACACTGAGGACGACCCAGCAGGCTTCAGAAAATGGCTCTGAATTACTGGAGGAGAAGGCAAAGAGAAAGGGCAGGGGACTGAGCAGCAAGCTGGCTTGGACTGTAAAGAGAGAGGCAGCTCCTGGTGGCATCCTGTTGGGCACCAGTGGAAGTGTCGGAGGAGTGCGCAGCTGGAGACCCGTAGCCATCCTCACCTTCACCCATCGACACTTCTCCTCCCCAGTCGCCCCTCCATCTGTCTTCCCATCCACTCCCACATCACCCATCTCACAGCACTCACATGAGCCCACATGGGGTCACGTGGGCTTAGCAAGGGACACCCTCGCACTGGGTAAATTCACTGGGTGTTTGTAACGGGCACAGAGAACTCTCAGAAGTGAGTAAGTGAAGATGCTGCTTTCGGTACGGGGTGAGGCTAAGGAGGCAGGCTTTCCTAAAGGTTTGAATCTGAGGGTGAGAACAACCATCGGCAAGGAGACTCAAGGGCCGGAGGTTGCTCAGTGGTTAGAGCACCAGATGCTCTTCCCCAGGTCTTGAGTTCAATTCCCAGCAGCCACAGCGGGGCTCACAGCCATCTATAATGAGATCCGATGCCGTCTTCTGGCACGCAGATGTACATGAAGTCAGTACTAACATTATATATATATATATATATATATATATATATATATATATATATATAAAACATTCATAAATAAATCTTTAAGAAGGAGACTCCAGAGCGCTCGATGCTGAGAAGGAGGCAGGTGACTGGCAATATTCACTTGGTGCTGTCACTTGTCACACCCCAGGAAAAGAAGAGAGCATCCCAGGGAGGGGGATTCACCACCATAGTCCTACAGCACTTCTGACCTTGATTCCAGAGGTTAGAAGAAAACAGAATTCCTGACAAGGTTCTTGCTTTAAGGGGTGGATCCCTGACACCCACAAGCCAGCCAGCCTAGCAGAACCAGTGAGCTCCAGGCTCAGTGACCTCGTTTCAAAAAAAAAAAAAAAAAGTAGAGACGTGATTGAGGAAAATGCCCAAATGTGAACCTCTGGTTTCCTTAACCATCTTTATCTGAGCTAGCTTCCATCATAATCTTATGAATACTTGCTTTTATTCTACCTCTGGGCCTTTCCACTCCTTTATTGGAGTCCCTCCTTCAGGCCCACATGATTTCTTCTCCGGCCTAACCCATCATGGCGTCCTTCTTCTTCTTCTCCTTCTCCTTCTTCTTCTTCTTCTTCCTCCTCTCTCCTGCCTGTTTCCCACGATTCTCCTGTCCTCAAAGCCCAGGAACCTCAGCCACGCCTACCCCATTCTGCCCTGCCCAGGTATAGGCCTTTAATCAACCAATGAGGTAAAGCATCTTAGGCAGGTTTACAAAATAAGGATAGGAGTGACCAGATCAAAATAAAGCCGCAGACCGACCCCAGCAGACCCCCGTGTGTCTCCTGAAATGCAGATGTTGATGAGTGTGTGGGCCCACAGCACACGTGCCCCCGGGGGACCACGTGCATCAACACCGGAGGCGGCTTCCAGTGCGTCAGCCCTGAGTGTCCTGAGGGCAACGGCAACATCAGCTACGTGAAGACCTCTCCCTTGTGAGTATACCCAGGCGCGCCCACGGCTGGGCATGCACGGCCCTCAGTGTGGCCGAGCTAGATTCCGAGAGCCTGGAGGGGGAGGATAATCACATCTCACGCAGGAAACAGGAAGGAGCGAGACGCTCTGAACCTCCATTTCCCCTATGATTATCAGCGCACGTGACTCCCAGATATTAGAGTCTACTTGAGTGCGGCCTCCTCGAGGGGGCAGCTGGTCTGAGTTTTCCCAAGTCTAACCGTGTCCGTTTTGCCTCTGCTCCAGCCAGTGCGAGCGAAACCCCTGCCCCATGGACAGCAGGTCGTGTCGCCACCTGCCCAAGACCATATCCTTCCATTACCTCTCTCTACCTTCCAACCTGAAGACGCCCATCACGCTCTTCCGCATGGCCACGGCCTCAGTCCCCGGCCATCCCGGGCCCAACAGCCTGCGCTTCGGGATCGTGGGTGGCAACAGCCGTGGCCACTTTGTCATGCAGCGCTCAGACCGGCAGACGGGGGAGCTCATCCTTGTGCAGACCCTGGAGGGGCCTCAGACTCTGGAGGTGGACGTTGACATGTCGGAATACCTGGAACGCGCCTTCCAGGCCAACCATGTGTCCAAGGTCACCATCTTTGTGTCTCGCTACGACTTCTAAGGACGCCGTGGCGGTCGGGGGACTGGGGTTTGAGATCTGGGCTGCTTTCTCTTCCCTAAGGAGACAGCTGTGGGCGAGAGCTGTGACGGTCATCTCTCCTCTCTGTCCTGCCCCCAGTCACTTTGCTTCTGGAGCAATGCTGTGCTCCGGCCCATGGGCTGGAACCGAAGGGAAGCCACAAAACAAATGCTATGCCACCATCACTCTACTTTTTTTTTTTTTTTTTTTTTTTTTTTTTTCTGCTTTAAAGCCCACCCTTATCCCCTTAGGAGACAGCACAGAATGTTATGGGAATGACCGCGTGAGTTTGAATGAGCTGACGTTGGAGAGGGGCTCATGTGTGTGTCAGAGACAATGGCCAACTGTTCTGCTTTCTCTGGCTGAGCGTGTTCTGAATCTGTCATGGTCTCATGCCCCTGTGAGGTACCCACCGTGATGCTTTCCCACAGTCCAGCCAGTCCTGTCCTCAGAGGGCTGCAGGAGAGCCCGGGAACCCCGAGTGGATCCTCCTAGACCAAGGTCTCAGCATTAAATCATGGATTTTGCCAGAGTGTCTTTGCTTTAGAGAAAATGTGTCTCAAAAACATGCCCTGGTTTTATGGCTGTGGAAACAGAGTCTGCTTCTACCCTCTGCCCACCCGACTTCTCCCTGAGCACGAGGGCACCCTCTCAGTAAGAAGAGCTCTCTTTCTGCCCATATTGGACATCGGGGATGGAGAGAGTAAGAGAGATGACATGCAGCATTGCTCCAGTAGTTTCGGTATGAGTTGGTCACAGGGGAGGCTGGTAAGGATGGCACCTAGCCATGGGGTGTTTAGGAGAATGCTCAAATTGTCCTTCACTCCATGGCATTCTTCAGCGGGAAGAACCCAGAGGTGACTGACGTCTCCCAGATAAATGAAGCAGGAAAACTCTGTCCAGCTCTGAAAAGTGGGTGCGATGGGGAGACCATTCCAATTAAAACTTAAAAAACTAGATGGGTTGAGAGGAGTTTCAGTGTCCAAATACACAGTGATCTACTGGGAACATAGCTTTGCATACATTTTGTTTTAAAAACATATTTCTAAACCGGGCATGGTGGCACACACCTTTAATGCCAGCACTGGGGGGAGGCAGAGGCAGGCGGAACACTGAGTTTGAGGTCAGCCTGGTGTACAAAGTCAGTCCAGGACAGCCAAGGTTACACAGAGAAACCCTGTCAATAATAATAATAATAATAATAATAATAATAATAATAATAATAATAATAATAACATTTCTAGGGGATGGGACAGGTGGACTCTGAGTTTGAGGGCAGCCTGGATGACATAGTGAAGCCATGTTTTAAACAGAAGAGGACAAGGAGAGGAGTAGAGCTCAGCTGGAAGCAATACTGTCAAGCATGCATGAGGCCTAAGTTCCTTTTCTGGCACTGCACTAAACTGAGCGTGGCTGCCCATACCTACATAGCCGGTTTGAAGCAGGCCTGGACCCGTGAAACCCTGCATCAGATAAAAGACAGAAAGGGAAAAAAAATCCAGCTCCCCACTTTCCATCTAATCTTTGCGTTTGTCTTGACATCAGCTATGAAGCGTGTCCCTTGCTTAGTGGGAAGCCAAGTATGACATTTCGAGGAGAGTTTGTCCCTGGCCTCTTTTGTGAGACAAAGATAGAGACTCCTCCCATGGCTTCTGCTGCAGTTTCTAACAACAAAACAAGGGCCTGAAGAGCTGCTTCACGGGTTATTACATGACTCATTAAAACACTTTTCAAAGCCTCGTGTTTCTACATCAGCAGTTCTCAACCTGTGACCTATGACCCCCTTGGGGCCACAGGGGTCAACTAAGATTATCGGGAAACACAGACATTTACATTATGATTCATAACTGTAGCAAGACTACAGTCCTGAACTCACAATGAAAATCATTTTACGGTTGGGGGTGGGTCACTGTGACATGAAGAACTTTTGCAAAGGGCCGAAGCATGGGGAAGGTTGAGAACTGCCGTTCCAGAGTGGTGGTGACTCTGGTGTCAAACAGGCCCTGTGTTTAGGGGAACTTTTCTCCACCGAGATCTGTCTTCCTCAAAGCTGCCTCCCACTTAGCAAAGCACTCAGCTTCAGTCCCTATGGCACCACAACGGATAGCGCCTGACTGCTTCAGGCTGTCCTGTGGATGGCACTCAGCGCCTTCCTCCTGGTCTCGCTACTGTGTCAGTCAGCTTCCTGTCACTGTAGCAGAATAGCTGTGACCATCTGCTCAGGAGGAGGAAAACGTTGATTTTTTTTCTCACAGATAACAGCCCATGGTCCACTGGCCCTCTTGTTTTGGGGGCCATGATGAGGTGGTATACCATGACATTGGCAGAGGCAGAGCCAAGCCTGTTCACCTCGTGGCTGGAAGGAAAGGGAGCAGAGGACCATGCCTCATAATCAGCTTCAAGGACATGCCCTCAAAGACCAGAGAGCTCCCGTTAGGCCCTGCACTCCCCAGTGCTTTGGGGGAGACGTTCTGGATCCAGACTGCAGTGATGTTCTGTTTGCCTTCCGCTATGGAAATCCACTGCTGGGTCTCTGTAGGCTGTGTTAAGTCGGGGTGACTGGTTGTCAGCAGGTTTGGGTTTAAACATCTTCCTGGGTAATACGGGTCCCAGTATTGCAAATGCACAGTCTGGACTAGCATAAGGAAAGGCATGCATCATCATTAGCTCCAACCAGCAGCCCCTGCCAATCACCTACTCCCACTCCACCATGTGATGACCTTGAAGGAGGTCCTAGACATGATATCATTCCATCTGTATTTCACCATGTGCTTCTAAAACGCCTCTCTAAAGCACGACCTCAACATTGTCCACACTCGGCATTATCGAGAAATTGAACAGCAGGGCCGGGGGGGATAGCTCAGCAGGTAAAGGTGACCGACAACCCGACGTCATTCAGCAGGACCCACATGGTGGGAGAAGAGAATCACCTCTCACAGGCTGTCCGCTACAGCGGCCCCCTCCACATCGCGTTTGCCGTGGCCCACCGGCATCCATGTACATATACACATGAACAAATAAATAAACAATGAATAATATAATTAAAAAAACAAATTCAACAATGATTCCTCCATGCCTGCAGCCATAAAATCATTGTTTAAGTTTATCTTAGTGACTTGATTTCTTTTTCTTGAATTGAATTAGGTCCATGTGGTATAACTTATTGATATGTTTTGATATGTAGCAGGGATCCTCACACTTCAGCATATATCAGATGGCCTGGAGGTTTGTGAGAGGGCAGAATACTGGATTGTTTATTTTTGTTTTGTTTTTAGGTTTTTTTCAAGACAGGGTTTCTCTGTGTAGCCCTGGCTATACTTGAACTCACCTCCTGAGAGCTGGGATTAAAGGTGTGCACCACCGCTGACTGGTTTTGGATTGTTTATTCTTGCAGGACTTCTCACACTCAGAGTTTTCTATAGAGTCTTTTAACGTGCTCCTCTGTCCTATCCCTTTCATACGAGCCTGTGGTTCTATTCAGAAAGGTAATGAGATTTGGATTGGCTTCGTTCCGAAGACTGCTTTGTTGGTAGTGATGGGTACTTACCTGGAAGTCACATCGTACCTATCTCTCTTTAAAAAATAAATTTTCTTTTATTTGGGGCTGAAGATACAGCTCAGCAGTGAGAAACACTTGCTTTTACAGAGGAACTGGTTTTCGGCTCTTAGAACACACATGGCAGCTCATAACTTCTGTAACTCTAGTTCCAAGGAATCCAAACCCATCTTTTAATCTCCTCAGGCACCAGGCGTGAGTATGGTTCACACACTTGCATGCAGGCCACTCTCTGTCTCTGTCTCTGTCTCTCTGTCTCTCTCTAAATGTAAAACACTTTTATTTAGGTCAGGTGTGGTGGCACATGCCTTTCATCCCAGCACTAGGGAGACAGAGGAAGGCTGATCTCTATGAATTTGAGGCTAGCCTGGTCTACATAGTAAGCTGCAGGCCAGCCACGGCTACAGAGTGAGACCCTGTCTTAAAACAAAACAATGATAATTTTACATCTTGGGAAACATCCCCCCCCCCCCCAAAAAAAAAAAAACACCACCAATACTGCTAGTTACAATAATTCTTTTAGGTTTTGTTTTTTGTTTATTTGTTTTTTTCTCCTCAAGTTTGTGTCATCAAGTATGAGTGTTGTACGGTCGGTTTGCTTTCCCAAATCCCTCAAAATAATTCTCTGTGGCTACGGCTTAAGCTACAATCAGAACAGTGGCAATTCATCCTGCTAAAATTTTTAGATATTTTTCACTTATTTATTTGCTTGTTTGTAAGAGGGGTGCTGTGCACCACAACACACCTGTGGAGGACAACTTTCAAGAATCAGTTCAATCCTTCCACTACAGTGGTTCCAGGGTTCAAGCTTAGGTCACCAATCTTGGCAGCAGGTGCCTTTCCCCACGGAGACATCTTGCTGGCCCTGAAACTTTTAGCAACTGTTTGTAATTTTTGTTTGTTTGTTAATCTAATTGAGTTTAATGTGTGTGGGTGTTATCCTTGTGTGTATATCTGTATCTCACGTCTGTGCCCAGTGTCCACAGAGGCCCTGTCTCTCCAGCTCCTCATATCCTCTCTCTCTTAACAGCTAAGTTTTTCCTTTCATCCTTATACTTGATATCACGGGACCGGAAGATGGCTCTGTAATTTTGAGCTGTGGTTGTTCTTACAGAGGACCCAGCTTAGATTCCCAGCGGCACCCGCATGGCGACTCACAACTGTCTGTAACTACAGTTCCAGGAGACGCAACACCCTTTTCTGTGGTACACAGATATATAAATAGGCACAGCACACACACAAATAAAATAATACAAATATATTATTAATATAAATAAAAGTAAAATAATATAAATTAATGATGGACGATAGCATAATATCCAATACTTCCTTTGGCCTTTTTGTTTTTAGTGACATTGGCTGTCACTCTGCTTGGCCATATCCCATATCGGTTCTCTGCTTTGAGATTCTATTCTATTCGTTTATTCATCTAGTCACTTGAGACTGACACCTAGCTAGTTTCAGTCCTTTGCCACTGAACGTGTTATATCTGTATGTGTATAACTTTTAGTATTTTTGCTTTTACATCATACATACCAATATTTCCTCCACAAGACATATGCGACCTTCCACCCCACAAAAAAAACAATGTATGGAAGGTCCTGTGCCTGAACTGCGGCGGGTCCTAGCAGCACAGAATTCACATTGCTCACTGAGCCGACCCTGCTTTGGAAGTGAAGGCAGGCCTGAGTGGAGGGCTGACCCACAGCCAGCTCATCTGTCTGTCTTGGACCTCTGAGTAGCAGTCAGCAGCCACCAGGAAGACGGGGGGCGGCCAGCCAGGAGATCATGAGCTGTTGAGCAATGGAAAATTAAGTAGGATTTTGGATGAGTTTTTTAAAAAATCACTTTTATTTTTAAACTGTAACATGTCCAATAGTAGCAAACAAAAAGGAAAATATGCCAAACCCCAAAATGCCATCCCAGGGTCACAGTCAACCTGACAGGTTTATAGTCTGAGGTCAGACAGGAATGCAT